TTTGAACCCGGGTCTTCTGCAAGAACAGTGTTCTTAATCGCTGAGCCATCTCTCTAGCCCCTAATTTATTAATTTTATTATGTGTCCGTGTATGTGTGTGGGCGCTGTGCATGTGTGTGGGGGTCAGAAGACAACTTGGAGCTGATTGTCTCTTCCCACCAGGTTGGTGCCAGGGATTGAACTCAAGTCCTCAGGCTTGGCAGCAAGCACCTTTACCCACTGAGCCATCTAGCTTGCCCTCTTTTCTTAGCCTAAAATGGCTAATTTATTAATTTTATTATGTGTCCGTGTATGTGTGTGGGCGCTGTGCATGTGTGTGGGGGTCAGAAGACAACTTGGAGCTGATTGTCTCTTCCCACCAGGTTGGTGCCAGGGATTGAACTCAAGTCCTCAGGCTTGGCAGCAAGCACCTTTACCCACTGAGCCATCTAGCTTGCCCTCTTTTCTTAGCCTAAAATGGCCTAGGCTGGACTTGGACTTGAATTCCTCATTCTTCTGCCTCAGCTTCCTAAACTGGGATTAACCCCTGTGGGCCACAAGGCCCAACTTTCAGAAAGTCTTAAAGATAGCTCTTCAGACCTAAATGTAAACCACAGACCCCCGATATGCAGAGCTCTTCGTAGAGAGCCTTTAGGGGAATTGATCTAAGGAAGTGTATGTTGGGGGGTGGTGAGCTGTGGGTCAAGGGAGGAAGCAGAGTGTCAGGGGATTGTACAGCAGAGAAGGAAGTATGGTTATCATGTGGATCCAGGAGGATTGTGGGTAATTTCTCAGCAGCAGTGGGTGGTATTTGTCAGGAGTTTTTGAGTTGGAAAGGACAGAAACCCAGCTGAACTTTAGAAAGAAAAGAATTCATAGGATTATATCATGAAAGAGCCCAGGCATGGCTGCATCTAGTTGTCAGATGACATCATTCAGAGCCATGTGTTAGCTGGACCTGGCAGGATAGGCAACTTGGGTGGCTGAGGCAAGAGAATTACAAGTTCAAGGTCTGCCTGGGCTGCAGAGTGTGTTCCAGGCCAGCATGGAGGGTAATTTAGCAAAACACAGTCTCAAAATAAAAAAATAGAAAAAAGGGAGTAGGATGTGGTGGTTCAAACCTGACATCCTGTCACCAGAATGAGGCAGGAGCTAAGTTCCAGGCTAGACTGAGCTACAGTGTTGACACCCTAGCTCAAAAACAAAATCAAACCAGGGATGGTAGTGAATGCATGCCTGTAATCACAGTTATTAGGAAGCAGGAAGAGCATGAAGTTAAAGGCTAGGAGGGTCAAAGAGAAGGCTCAGAAGTAAAGTGGCTTGCTGCCAAGCCTGATGACCTGAGTTCAATCTCTGGGGTCCACCCGGTAGAAGGAGAGAATCAAGTCCTGTAAGTTGTCCTCTGACCTCCACACACATGCTGTGGCAATGCACCTACATACATGCATACATGTACACAAAATAAATAAAATATGATTTTAAAAATTTAGGCTTGGGCTAGAGAGATGGCTCAGCAGTTCAGAGCACTGGCTGTTTTTGCAAAGGACCCAGGTCTGGTTACCAACACCCACATGGTGGCTAACAACCATCTGTAACTCCAGTTTCAGGGGATACAAGGCCCTCTTTTGACCTCCACCGGCATTGCACAAGACACAGGTACACTTAGGTACATGTAGGTAATACATTCATACACATAAAAAATATTGTTTAAAAATTAAAAAAACGTGGGGCTGGAGAGATGGCTCAGTGGTTAAGAGCACTGACTGCTCTTGCAGAAGATCTGGGTTCAATTCCCAGCACCCACATGGTGGCTACAAACTGTACTTAACTCCAGTTCCAGAGGAATCTGAAGCCCTCTTCTGACCTCTGCTGCATTGCACAACACAGGTGCACTCACATACATGCAGGCAATACACTCATACACATAAAATAAAAATAAATAATATATTTTTTTAATAAAAAAAAACACCTTAGGCTGGGGGGCTGGAGAGATGGCTCAACAGTTAAGAGCACTGGTTGCTCTTATAGAAGATCTGGCTTTGCTTCCCAACACCTACATGGCAGCTAATAATGGTCTATAACTCTGGTTACAGGTGATCTGATGTCCTCTTCTGGTCTTCAGAGGTTTAAACACTCATATAAAAAACAAATGGGAGCTGGGGAGATGGCTCAGCGGTTAAGAACACTGACTGTTTTTGCAGACCTGGGATCGAATTCTAGCACCCACATGACAGCTAACAATTGTCCATAACTCCAGTTCCAGGGGATCCGACTGCCTCTTCTGTCCTCCTTGGGCATTGCAGGACACTGGTGCACTTACCTACATGTAGGCAATACATGCATACACATAAAATAAAAACAAAATATTTTTAAAAACCAAATAGAAAAAAAATTGAGGCTGGAGAGATGGCTCAGCAGTTAAGAGCAGTTACTGCTCTTCCAGAGGCTCTGGGTTCATTCACAAATGCCCACAGCACCCTCAAAACATGAGGCACAGCAAGGTAACACATGTCTATCATCCCAGCATGAGGGAGGCTGAGGCAGGAAGATCTCAAAATTTTGTTTTTTTAATCATTATTTTTTAATTTTTAATAACTACATGATTAGAAGAAGCATTTCACTACAGATTTAACATATTCAGTAACATACTCCAGAGCAAGAGTACATCTCTTTCACAAGTGGGTGCAAGTTTCTAGGTTCACAGTTGAGTTAATACAGTTATACAATATTGAACTCAGTATAAGCCCCCAGAGAGAAGTCTGCCTCAAAATTTTGTTTTTGAAAATTTGTTTAGATTTTTAATTTTTTTAAGTGTATGAGTGTTTTGCCTACATGTGTGTAAGTACACCACTGGAGTTAGAGATGACTGTTAGTCATCATGTGGAGCCTGGGACTGAACCCAGGTCCTCTGCAAGAGCAGCTCTTTACCACTGAGCTATCCATGGGTCTCAAATTTGAGAACTGTCTAGATTCAAGATCCTGTTTCATTGAAAAAAAAAAAAAAGTTAATTCACAGCTGTAATCCCAACACTGGGGAGGTAGGGGCAGGAAGTTCAGGAATTTAAGGTCAGCCTTGGCTACATAGGGAGTTCTAGGCCAACTTCGCTACATGAGACTCTGTCGAAACAAGAACTGGAGGGAGGCTTCTAGAAGGCAGGAAGGAGTGCTGACAGGACAAGCACTGCCCTTCACTATCTCCCTCATTTTGTGTTACAGAAGAGGCAGGATGAGGCCAGGGGAATCCAACAACACCCCACCAACTCTTAACTTGAACTTGGAGGCCTGACATGGTCGTCCTTGGAGACACTCTGTTCCCCTGGGGCCAGTACACAACTCAGGAAGAACACACTCTGCTTTCCTAGGCAGGAGAGTCTGCAGAAGGAAGACTAGCCATGGAGGAACCCAGCGTCTGTATTTCCCCTTCTTCCACTTCCCGTCACTGGAGTGTTAGGAGAGGGGGAAATTCTACCACCATCCAATCAAAAAAACAAAACAAAACAAAAAAAATACCAAGTCGGTTAAAAAAAAATTAAAGCCAAACAGACTCTAAGAAAGATCAGCTTTTCTTTCCTTCCCACTTTTCATCTGCTTTGAGAGAAGTCACTAAGAAATATGTTTTGGTATGGTGGCACATGCCTTTAATCCCAGCACTCAGGAGGCAGAGACAGGTGGATTTCTGTGAGCTCGAGACCAACTTAGTCTAGCTAGTGCATTCCAGGCCAGCTGGGGCTACAGGGAGACCCTGTCTCAAAACCAAAAAAAGAAAAAAGAAATGTGATTATTAAATTTTAATTATACAATTCCAAATATATTTCCTTCCTTTGTTTTTCCTTTATTTTTTTATTACTACATACATTTATTTGTGTGTGTGTGTGTGTGTGTGTGTGTGTGTGGTATGTGTGTGTGTGTGCATGTGTGTGTGTGTGTGTGTGTGTGTGTGTGTGTGTGGGTCAGAGGATAACTTTCTGGAGTCAGTTCTTTCTTTCCACCATGTGGGCCTGTCCCAGGGATTGAACTCAGGTTTTCGGGTTTGGCAGCAAGCTCCTTTACCTGCTGAGTCGTCTCACCAGCCCCATTTTTTCATTTTCTTTCCCAACCCAAGCTCCTTGAACTCACAATCCTCTTGCCTTATCCTCCCAAGAACTGAGATTGCAGGCATGCATCACATCATTCAGCTCCAAATACATTTTCTTTCTTTTTCTTTTTTTTTGGTCTTTAAAAATTTTTTTAATTTATTATTTTTATTTTATGAGTGTATTGCCTGCATGTATGTGTGTACACCCATGTCATGCAGTGCTGTAGAGGTCAGAAGAGGGCGTCAGCTTCCCCTGAAACTGGAGTTAAGGACATAGCCTCCATGTGGGTGCTGGGCATTGAACCTGGGTCCTCTGCAAGAGCAATCAGCGCTCTTAACCATTGAGCCATCTCTCCAGACCCTCTTTTTGGTCTTTTTGAGAGAGGTTCTCCCTAGCTGGCTTGGCACTTGCTATGTAGACCAGGCTAGCTTCATTCTCACAGAGATCTGCCTAGCTCTACCTACCTAGTGCTAGGACTAAAGGCACGCACTACCATACCCAGTCAAATACATTTTCTTATACAAAGTGACTGGTGGGGCTGGAAAGATGGCTCAGCAGTTAAGAGCCCTGGCTGCTCTTGCAAGACCCACGGCTGCTCTTGCAAGACCCAAGTTTGATTCCCAACACCCATATGACTGCTAACAACCATCTGTATCTCTAGTTCCAGGTAATCCAACGCCCTCTTCTGGCTTCCATGGGCATTGTACATATGGGTGCACTTACATGCAGGTAAAACACCCATACTCATGAAATAAAAATAAATTTGAAAAGAATAGTATTAAAATAAAGTGAATGATTTTTTTTCTTTTGTCTTTTTGAGACAGGGTCTCCTTGTAGCCCCAGCTGTCCTGGAACTCACTATATAGACCAGGCTGGCCTTGATCTCACAAAGATCCGCCTGCCTCTGCCTCCCAAGTGCTGGGATTAAAGGTGTGTGCCACCACACCCAGCAAATAATTTTTAAAAATTAAATAAAAAGTTATTTTTTAAGCTGGGTATGGTGGCACACACCTTTAATCCCAGCACTTGGGAGGCAGAGGCAGGGAGATCTCTTGTGAGTTAAAGGCAGCCTGGTCTGCATAGTGAGTTCCAGGACAGCTGGGGCTATAGGGAGACCCTGTCTCAAAAACCCCAAAAAAAAAAAAATTTTTAAAAGATCCTGTCCCAAAAAAACTAAAACAAGTTCAGCACCATCCTCAGCTTCATAGTGAGTTTGAGGCCAGATGAGCCAGAGTTGGTGACACAGGCCTGTAATCCCAGTACTCCAGAGTTCGAAAATCTTTTTTTTTTTTTTTTTTTTTTTTTTTTACTGGGCATGGTGGCACACCCTGTAGTCCCAGCACTTGGGTGGCAGAGACAGGTGGATCTCTGAGTTCGAGACCAGCCTGGTCTATATAGTGAGTTCCAGGCCAGCTGGGACCACAGGAAGACCCTGTTTCAAAAAGACCCCTCCAAAAAAATTAAATTTTTTTAAAAAGTAAATAAATTATATTTCATTGTGTGTATATGTGTGTGTGTGTGTGTGTGTGTGTGTGTGTGTGTGTGTGTTTTGACTTGCATGTGTCATAGCCCCTGTGGAGGTCAGAGGACATCTTTTGAGAGTTGGTTCTCTCCTTCTACCATTTGGGTCCCAGGGATCAAACTGAGGTCCTCAGGTTTGGCAGCAACCACCTTTGCGTATTGAGCTATTCTTGATGCCCGAGATTTTGAAAATGTTAAAGGCAAATGAGCTTCCTTGGTTACTCTCTTCCCATGTTGCTCTGTTAGCTCCCTCCGACACATATCAGCATCTGAGAGGACCTTATTTATTAGCTCCCTTGTTTGCCATTTCCCCAGCAGGACTGTCAGCTGCACTGGGGCCTCATGATCTCAGTGGATTGCCTGGCTTACAGCTGTGAAGAACATCAGGTAACAGCACATGCTGTGCCGACTACACATAATACACAACTTACCTTTAATTTCATTTATTTATGTGTGTCTACATGAGTGTCTATCTCATCTGTGTGTGCTGGTGCATGAACCTGTGCATTCATAGCGGCCAGAAGATGGATCCCTTGGAGCTGGAGTTACAGGCATTTACAAGACACTCAGCTTGGGGTAGGGGATCTGAACTCTGGTAACTCAAAATGTATACCAGGCTGGCCTTGAACTCACGGAGATCCCCCTGCCTCTGCCTCACCTCCCAAGTGCTGGGATTAAAGATGTGGGCCACTAGGCCCACTCATACACACTCTTAATAATGAATCAGACCTATATTTTTTTCTTTTTTGATCTTTTTGAGACAGGGTCTCCCTAGCCCCAGCTGACCTGGAACTAGCTATGTAGACCAGGCTGGCCTTGAGGTCACAGAGATCCACCTGCCTCTGCCTCCTGAGCCACCATGCCCAGCCAGACCTATTTTTAATATGCCTAAAGTATTTACTATTGGGACTTTGAGTTAGAGGTGGGCATCACATGACTTTCTCCATTATTTGTCACCTTATTTTTGAGTCAGAATCTCTCACTGAACCCGGTGCTCATAGATTCAGCTAGGCTGGCCAGCCAGTGAGCTCCAGAGATTTTCTTGTCTCTGCCCCTCTTCCCCTTAGTACTGGGGTTATAGACGTACTTTTATGTAGGTGCTGGGACTCCCAATCCAGGTCCTCATAATGTTACAGTGGGTACTTCACAGACTGCCTACCATCTTGGCAGCTCTATTATTAAGACTTTCAGAGACAAGGTTTGCTAATTCTTCCTATAGTGTAGATGGTACCCAGTAGTTCCACCCTTCCCATTTCACAGATGGACAAAAGGAGGTGGAGGGGAGAAAGGACTTGGTGAAGATCACATGGAACTGCGGTTCTCAGTCAGCTGTGTCACTGCTGTGCTAAGCCTGGTTTTGTTGAATGAAACCCAGAAACAGATGAAATCAGTGCATGTGCCCAGGAGGCTCAGAGCCTGGGAAGCACAAATAATTATAACCTAGATGGAGCTCCAGAGGGACTGGAGATGGGAGACAGTTACCAGGTTTAATTTTGCTGTTTTATTACCTTTTTGAGTCAAGGTCTGGCTGTGAAACCCAAGATGGCTTTGAACTCACTATGTAGCCCAGGCTGGTCTCCAGCTCATGATCTTTTATGCCTCAGACTCCTGGTTGCTGGGATCACAGGCTTGTGTCACCACAGTTGTCTTTCTTGATTCTTCATAGCAGGCATATCTCTGTGAGATAGAGGCCAGCTAGGGCTACATTAGTGTGTTCCAGGCCAGCTGGGGCTACAAGAAGACCCTGTCTCAAAAAAAAAACCACTAGGCCCCAGAATAGTTGATTTAACATTCATGACATATCTTTTAAAGGCCTTGGGACCCAAACATGACCATCATTGGCTAAATCCATTTCCTGCCTCAAGGACTTAATTTACAAAAGGAACACACAACTCTCCCACATTTAAGGCAGCTCTCCAGGCCAGGTGGAGTTCTATGGGAGGGGCGTGGCTACACCCTGAGGTAACTTGGGGCGGGGCCTATAGAACCCACTGCGGGAAAACTCTGAGGGTGCCTAGGCTCAACCCACTGTGGTGGGGTGGGGGAGGGGGTTGGGAGGGGTCTTCTGGCCTCTGAGCCTACGCGATTGCTGCAATGATCCTACTGTGGGTGAAACTAAGTGGGAACAGGGCCTGCGTGGGGATATCAGGGATCCCACCCACACCCGGGCCAGAGCAGCACCCCCACTCCTGCACTTCCAGCCCAGCAGCCCCTCCAGCACCCCCGCCCCCACCCCACCCGGCGGCAATGAGTCAGCGACCGGCCGCGCCCCCTCGACTCACTTCCTCCTCACCTTTCCCGGGAGGGTGAGGGGCGGCGAGGCGGGTCGGGGTGGGGGGATGGCGTAGGGTGAGGGGTGCCAAGGGTCCGAAGAGAGATCAGGGGAGGAGGGGGACGTGCCAAAGTGTCAGTCCAGGGTGCAAATGGAAAAGATCCCCTAATGTTGCAGAGGGCCTTCCCCACCACCTCCCCCAAACTGGGCAAGGATGTTAAGAAATGGGGAAGTGAAGTGGGGAGAAATTTGCACCCCTAAGAGATCCGCTCAGGATGCAAAAGGGGGGAAGGCTAGAGATCAAAGGTAGATCCTTTCTGCTTCCCCTAGCTTGCTCCTCCAGTTTGGGGGTGAGCTCCAGCGTGGCCCCCAGGCCATTGGACCAGGGAAGGAGTCCGATTGCGGAAGTCAGAGGTTCCGCGTTGCCCTTTTAAACTCTCTCCATCCCCCGCCTGGAGGTGTGCAGGGCCCCTTTAAGGCGCGGGGCATTGTGGGTGCGGGGAGTGGAATTTTGGAACGAAATGTAGCAAAGAGAAGTACAGTAGTAAGAGTAAGACCTGAGGTGCGGCCGGCCGTGGGGGCGCGCCGGGGAGCCGGGGACGCTGCACCCCGGTTTATGATCGCAGGGGACCCCAGTCCGTCAAAGCAGCAGAGGGAGGAGACGCCTGAGGACGCGCCCCGGCCCGGTCCACGTTCTCCTCAGGAAGCTGGACTCTATGGGGCGGGACCCCGAAAGGCACTGAGCAGACGCTGGAGCCAGCCCCGAACCCCTGAACCTCGACTCAGGGGCGCCCCGGGAGCATCCCCCCGTGGGCGCGCCACCTTCCCTCCGCGCAGCCATGAGGTGAGCCTCGAACCCCCAAACTCGTCCTCGGGCGGGCGCCCGCTTTGCGCCCCGCCTTTGTCCCCCACTCCCTTCAGCTTGCTCAGGACTAGATTTAGGGGGGGACAGGGTTTTGGGAACCCCAGTTCTGAACCAGTGCCCCCCTGGAGCAATCTCTACATATCAACAACCCCCCTTTTTCCCTGGAATCCCCCCTCAGGTTTGGGGCGGTGCCAGCCGATGGTGTCCTGGTGGCTCTCAGATTTGGAGGCGCACTCTGGACTCCCAGGATTTGAAGACTTTTGGGGGGAGTACCTCCAAGTTGGCAGATAGTACCTCGTAGGGATGCTCTAATTGAACCAGGGCTCTGAGTTATCACCCCAAAAAGCTCAAGTCTAGGTCCAGGAGGAGATAGTGGGGGGCTGGTCTGGAAGCCCCTGAGACCTGAAACTGTAACCCTTGGGTCTTGATTTGTGCGATCCGCGTGTCTGCTGGCTAGATGAAAGTCTCCCCGAGTGGGACCGCAGTCCTTAACTTTGGGGGTACTTCTTGATCTCTCTAAATTTGAGGGACACTTCGGTCCTCCTGGGGAAGTGGGTCTTGTGGATCTGCCCCACGAGGCCTGGAGGGTCTAGAGAGGAGTACCCTCCCCCTAGACACCCAAGGGGGGTGCCTAGAACCGGGTAATCACCCCTAGCTGAGGGCGGCACCCCGGATCCCTGCCAGAGGGTGGCTCTGGTCCCCACCTGGCAGCCCGGGGAGGGAGGGGGCGCGGCAGCTGGGGGAGGGGGCCCTTTGTCTTCCAGACTCACCTGTCGAGACAGCTGGTGTGGGGGGCGGCCCCCAGGGAGTACGTGGGCCAGCTGCTTTCCCCACTCCACAGTCCCTCCCCCTGGGCTCAGTGTCGCCCTGTCACCCCCCCAAGCCACCCGGAGCGGTTGGATTGGAAGAGGGGGCGCTGGGAAGCTTCAAGGTCACAGCCTTGTCCCTGTAGGGACCCAGGCTTAGCAGCTCTCTTCCCAAGAATTTCATCCTGGGGTTGAGGGGACCCAGGGATTTGTGTCTCTTTCCTGGAGGAGCCTGCCCTAAACTCTGGGGCTCACCTGAGGGCGGAGCCGTGCCCCTCCCCCCATCTCTCCCTTGGGGCTACAGCCTGACAATCCTATCTCCCTTCCTCCACTCTGGCTAGGACTTCCTGCCCCCAAGCCCTTGGGTAAAGGAGGGATCCCTTGGGGACACTTGGGCTTAACCCCTATGTCCACATCCTCCACTTCCCCCCACACTCATGCCCTCTGACATCTGGGTGACATTCTTTCCTGGGACCATTAGGGAGGAACCCACCCCCACCCTCCACCCTTCTAGAGTCTGTTCCTTCTGATGTGGGAGTATTGGAGATCTGGAACTAGAAAAGGGACACAGAGACACTCTGGAGACTTCCTGCCCAGCCACCCCTCCCCAGGACAGCGGTGTCCCCTGCAGCTGCCAGGCTCTCTTCCTTCACCCGCCCCCACCCCCCAACATCCCCAGGGGACTCTTCTCTCCCACTGCCCCAGCCCCTCCCCTCCCCCACACCCGTTTCCGGTCCCAGGCACTGGTGGAAGGCTGATGGCGGATGTCCGACGTAGTAATGCTACCTCACTCCCTGAGACCGTAAAAGGGCAGGAGTAATGTCTGGGCCAGCCTCCTGCATCCTCAACCCCCAGCCGAGCCCCCTCTTGCTGGGACCCAAAGCTCTAACCTCCTCTGAGTTCAGCAGTTCCTTCCAACTTCTTAGGAGGGGACCTTGCTTGGCCTAGGTCACTTACTGAGTTGTGTCACTTTCTCGAAGGACAGCTAGGATTTTTTTTTTAAGACACAAAAAAAGACCCATGTCTGTATTCCCAGTTGGAGAAACTGAGGCTCCTGAGCCTTCAGAGCCTCGTCACAGTTCGGGGAGGGGAGGCCGGGATGGCCCTGTGTCTTTCTGGTTTGGCCGGGGACCGTCCTGGGGGCAGTGGGAAGAGAGGAGGTGAAGATGGAAAATTACAAGATAGGGTTCTTTTCCTCCCAGTTTGACAAATATTTGTTGAGTGTCTGTCGCATCCGGGAGCTGGGAAGGCCGAGAAGAGGGTCAGAGGTCTGAAGGATCTCGGGTAGATGGAATTTTTAAAAGTATTTGGGGTCATTCCTTCCTTCTTGGCAATAATAGTAGAAGTGATTGTTATTTCAGTTTATTTTTTTAAAGATGAGACCGATTCAGTCACATCTTAGTGCCAGGTACTGTGGGTGGGTCTGATTCGATTTTAGTCTCCAACACAGTTCTAACTTTGATGCTCTTTCAAACTTCGTATACTGCATTTTCCTCCATTTTACAGGTAGTAAAATTGAGGTGCACAAAAGTCAAGGAAATTGCCTGTTAGGTCTTAACCGCATGATGGGGTGACTCACTCCTGTAAGGATAGCACTTGAGAGGTGGAGGCGGGAGGATCAGAAGCAGGAGGACAGCCTGGGCTATATGAGACTCTGTCTCAAATATAAATATATTCATTCATTAATTAAGTCAAACAATTTAGAAGTGGTGAAGTTTGAATTTGGACCCAGGACTATCTCCAAGAATTATGGTATTTTAGAAAAAGGAAAATAAAACATCATGGTTTTGTTTTTTTTTTTCAGGACAAACAGTGCGCTTTTACTATTTGAAAAAAATTTAACCCTCTTCAGCTAGGCATGAAGGTTCATGCCTGTAATCCGGGTATTCAGTAGGCTGAGGCAGGAGGATAAGGAGTTCAGGGTCATCCTCAGCTACATAGCAAGTTTGAGGCCAGCCTGAGCTACATGAGCTCTTGTGTCAAAAAATGTGTAGATAACGCACTCAACTGGGATGAGGTTGTACAATCCTGTAATCCTTATACTGAGAAGGCTGAGGTGGATGACTGCCCTGAGTTTGAGGCCAGCCTAGGCTACAGAGCGAGTTCCAGGTCAGCCTGGATTACAAAGAGAGCTTATCTCACGAACACCAACCTACTAGATCAGGAACCCAGCGGGAACTTTTTACCTTCCTAGTCACTTAGGAGAAACTGAGGCCCACCAGAGAGAGTAGAACCCAGAAACACAACAGATATTGAACTGTTCCCCAGGTGACGTCAGTGAGTGTTTACAGCTCAGGGTGGTTTTTTGTCTTTGTCTCAAGTTTTATGGTGCAAGGAGGCTGTGGGGTAAGTCTTGGGGGTGGGGCACAGAGGAGGGAATGAGGAAGGTTAATGCAAGCTGGAGTTGGCTGCCCTTGATTACCCCTGGCGGCGGGAGACTCCCTGCATGTTAGGACTCTCCTGCTCCCACAGTGGCATCCGTGGGCATCTGGGTCAGTTGCTGGGTTGTGAATTAAGATCTCTTGTCATTTTTCATCTTTGACAACAAACTCGTGAGTTACCATTTCCAGAGCAGAAAACTGAGGCTCAGAGCTCTGGTGAAGCTACTCACTCAGCAAGGATGACTTTGAGGAAGGGGCAGGTCCTGGGGCAGGTTGGCTGGGTGTCAGGTATGTGAGATCTTAAAAGACCACTGGAGCCCAGGGTGCGATGGAGTACGCCTTTAGTCCTAGCAGGTGGATCTCTCAGAGTTCGAGGCCAGCCTGGTCTACATAGAGAGTTCCAGGCCCGCTGGGTCTACAGGGAGAACCTGTCTCAAAAAGATGCCCCCACCCCCAAAAAAATAAAGACCACCCGAATCAAGCTTTTTGATCCCTGGGCCCTGCCAATCTTCATGGCGGTAGAATTTTCTGTTCTTTTCCTTTTTTTATAATTTTTTTAAAAAGTTTGGTTATTGGCATTTATTTATTTTGGAGAGGAGGGGTGTGCATATCTCTATGTGTGTGTGTGTGTGTGTGTGTGTGTGTGTGTGTGTGAAGGATGTGGGACTGAGGAGGTCAGGCTTGGTGGCAAGCACCCTTACCCACTGAGCCATCTCATTTAAAGACCAGGTCTCATGTAGCCTTGAACTCCTGATCTTCCTGCTTCCACCTCCCTGGGTCACAGCTCATAGGCTGTGCGATTTCTTTTTCTGGCTTCTTGCTTGTTGAATGGTTAGTGGTGCTTTATGACAGGGTCTCATCACAGAGCCCAGGCTGGCCTCAAACTTGGCAAAGATCTAAGCATGTGCCCCCTCCCCCAGCTCTTGCCTCTGTCTCCCCTACCAAAACATCAGGTCTATAAGGACCCTGTTAGGTCCCTGCTGTGTCTCCAGAGCCTAGAATGTGCTCAGCACTTAGTGACTACTTAGCAGTTGTCAAACACATGTCCAAAAAAAAAAAAAAAAAGAAAAGGCAGACTCAATATTAACAGCTGACATTTGAAGGTTAGCTTGTGTCCCAGATGCTGTTCCAAGTGTGGGGCTCCAATTTCTACCCCGCATGTCTCTGCTATCTGATGAGGTAGCCCTTTGAGAGATGAGGAAATGCAGGCACAGAGAGGTACAGATGTTTGAGGATGATCACACAGAAAACAAGACTGGTGACTTCATGTGGACCTAGGAGCTCCTGAGCTCTTCACCTCACTGGACAGATGAGGACACAGCCCAGCTGGTATTTTTAAAAAGGCCAGGTACAAAGTAGTGTGGATGAGAGCTTTTCTTAAGAGAAAAGGTGAGAGGTTATAAATATACATGCTCTTAGGATAGTGCTAGAAAAGTGGACGCTTCTCAGATGATGAGGTTTGAGAGGGAAAATATACTTCTGTGTTTTCATGCTTTTGAGCTGATTCGCTATTTCTTAGCTCCCTCTCTCTTTTTTAGATTAAAAAATGTATTTATTTATTTGTTTGTTTATTTAATGTGTGTGGAGCTCAGAGGACAACTTTTGGAAGTCAGTTCTCTCCTTCTACCATGTGGGACCTGGGATTGAACTCAGGTTGTCAGGCTTGGCAGTAAGCAACTTTACCTGCTGAACCATCTTGCTGGCCCTTGTTTGTTTTTGTTTTGAAACAGGGTCTCACTAGGTAGGGCGGCTGGCTTCAAATTTAAGATCCCCCTTCCTCAGAGTCCTGAGTGTTGGGATCAAAAGTGTGATCTTTTCTTTCTTTTGCTTAATTACGGGTTTGAATTATGGTTTGGTTTTTTGTTTGTTTGTTTTTTGGTCTTTTTGAGACAGGGTCTCCCTGTAGCCCCAGCTGTCCTGGAACTCACTATGTAGACCAGGCTGGCCTTGAACTCACAGAGATCTGCCTGCCTCTGCCTCCCAAGTTCTGGGATTAAAGGCGTGCGCCACCACACCCGGCTTAAATCTATTTTAAATTAAAAAAATTAAACTACTCATGGGCAGGAATGATGACTCAGCAGTTAAGAGCACTAGCTACTCTTGCAGAGGACCCCTGTTTCACTCCATCACCCACATGGTGGCTAACAGCCATCTGTAACTCCCAATTCCAGAGAATCTCACACCCTCTTCTGGCCTCCACAGGTATTGCATACACGTGATGCACTTACACACATGCAGATAAAACAGTCAATACACATAAACAGAAAAAAGCTGCAATAGAAGCTGGACGTTACATGTGCACACCTGTAATACCTTGGGAGGCAGCAGCAAGATGATCCTTGTAAGTTTAAGGCCAACCTGGGCTATGTGGCAAGATTAGATCTTTAAAAAAAAAAAAAAAAAATTGTCCAGGCATGGTAATCAATCACTCTATGCTTGGGAGGCCGAGGCAGGAGGATCCTGAGTCTAAGGCTAGGCTGAGCTACAAAATGAGACCCTGTCTGAAAACAAAAGATTGTCAACCTGGGAACCTGCTGTAAAATGTGCATGTGAGGTCTTAGGGAGGGTGGTGTCCAGGCAGAGCCCTAAGGAGGAGTAAACTGGGGCTTGAGGAAGACCATGGAAGCTAAGAGGGAGGAGCTGGAGGAAGGGGGATGCTGGAACAGAATGTAGGGGCTGGAACTGAGAGACTTAGGGGGAGAGGGAAAGAGTGAAGCCAGACTACAGGGGACCCCATGGGGCTTGGAAAGAACTTGGCCTCAGGCCTGCCCAAGACTGAGGGGAGAGACTCTAAGATTGGATCTTAACAGTCCTTAAGGCCTGGAGGAGGACAGAAGCAGCCTGGGTCATACAGCCAGCACAGTAGCCAGCCAGGCCAGAGCCTCAGCTGGGCAGACCCACTTGGGAGGCCAAAGTGCACCTGGGTGGGGCAGTGCCAGGCGGGCAGCCCTGGGCGTCTGGCCAGAGTCTGCCCTGGGTGTGGGTGGCAGGTAGAGGTGAGGCTTTTTTAACCCTGCCTTGTCTGGGGTGCCTGAGCCAGAAACAGTGCCTGAGGCTGTGTTTGTCTGAGATGGAACCTGGTGTTTGGAAGGGCCCACACAGTCCATGTGGTCAAGCCTGTGGCTTCAGAGCCACCCTCTCTGCCTGCTCGAAGAGACTGTGTGACTGTGGGTGAAATGCTCAGCCTCTCTGGGCTCTACTGGCAGCTCTGCTAACCAGGTGGAACAATACCATCCTGAAGGGGTGTGGTGGGAATACTTCCCAGCGTAGCACATGGACCAGCCAAGGGACTGGTGGAGGAGCTACATATATGCAAAGCTGGGGTGCTAGGCTCACTGTAGGGACCTGCAACTGGGCCTTCTAAGGGGCTTTCCCTGCTCAACTCTCACTGTAAGGCATCACAGTCCAGCCCCCCAGCCCAGACTTTGTGGGGTGTAGCTTTTCTCCCCAGAAACCACCAACTTCTTCTTTTCAGGAAAAAGTTCTGTGGGGGTGGGGCGGGGCCCGAGACCTGAGCTTCACCAAACTTCCCCTGTCTGTATGTGACCTTGGCCAAGTTACTTCCTGTCTGGGAGCCTTAGTTCCCTCATGGGAGGAGAATTGAACCTTCCAGAAAGACAGGTAGAAAGGTCTTGGAAGATGGGAATAGGTAGGGACACAGTAGTGCTTTTTCAGGGAGCTTCAGTGATGACAGTAATTGAACACTCAGTACCCCAGTGCTGGTGGTAGGTGAGCACTCAATACCCAGTACTGACTGTGACATAATACTCAGTATATACTGGGGGCAGTGCCAGGGACTTTACGTGCCCAGACTCCTTTGCCCCACTCACTGCCTTGGGGACCTTATGTCTTCTTCCTCAGGCTACAGTTAAGGGGTATGAACACACCCAAAAGTAGGCATTTGCACAGTCATGTGGAAGAAGGGGTTCAGGTCTGTGGTTTGAGACCCCTAAGTCTGAGCTGCCTGTCTGTGAAGCTAGCGTTGGTCATTGGCTCTCCCCAGCACTGCTAAAGCCTCAGGCTGGGCCTGGGGCTCCTGAGGGTGCTCCCTAGACCTGAGTCCACTGCTCCTAAGTGGTTGCTATGAGGACGCATCTGTCCCCCACACTGGACCGCACATCTAGGAGTGGGGTACAGAGCTGTCTTGTCTGGGGACTGCTGTGTCTCCATCCTTAACCATAGGCTTTTTGTGACCTGGGGATGGAGATGGAGCAGGTGGCCCAGTGAGAGCAGCCTCCAGGGACAAGCACCAGGGGCCAGGGCGTGGTCCCCACACTTCCTGCCCTTGAGCCTCAGCTTCCTCAAATGACCTGAGTCCTGAGGAGCAGAGGTGAGAGAGGGAGGGGAGGTAGAGATGGGGGAACTAAGGCCAGGCAAGGGCCACCCTGTCTGTCTTCTGGGCCTCCCCCAACTCTGCCTTTCCCAGTCTCTCTGTATTCACCTTTGTTTAAGGCCCTGGGGACTCAACCCAGGGCTGCAAGCCTGTAAGGCCTGTGTGCTGAGCCATGCCCCCATCTTAAGCTTCAGGCCTCTGCTTTATCTCTCTCTGCCCCTTCCTCTAAAGCCTGTCACTTCATCTTCTGCCCAACTTTATCTGTCCCTCTATCTTTTTTGTGGTACTGTGAATTCAACCAAACACCTTGAGCATCCTAGGCAGGTGCTCTACCACAGAGCCATGCCCCCAGACCCTCACTGGGGGATTCTAGGCACTGTTGTACCTTAGAACTGTATGCATGTGTGTGGAGGTCAGAGGACAACTTGTGGGAATCATTTTTTCCTTCCACTATGTGGATCCCCAGAGATTGAACTCAGGTCATGGGTCTCAGTGACAAGCACCTTTATGCACTGAGCCCTCTCTGGGCCATGCTTGGTTTGACCTGTCTCACCTCTTTCCCCATCTGTCCAGTTAATGTCTCCTGGTTGCATGTCACACTCTCCTGATGTTACTCCCTGTTGTCTATCCTCTGTCTGGTCTGTGGGACTCCTGTACCCTCTCTCCGTCTCGCTCTTAACCCCACATCATCTCTTGGAAATCGACACTACCACCCCCCCACCCCCCACCCCCCCACAAGTCAGGTAGGGGGCTATCAGAAGGATGCAGACAGGGGAAGGGCATAAATGTCATCAAAATATTTCTATGAAATTCACAAAAATTCAATTAAATTATTTTTTAAGTAACTCTTGGAAATCGACCCTACCCCCCCCCCCCCCCCCCCCCCCGCCAAACAAGACCACAGGAGGTGGTGACAAGCCCCTCTACCTTCTGTCCCGGCAGTGAGACGGTCATCTGCTCCAGTCGGGCCACTGTAATGCTTTATGATGATGGCAGCAAGCGATGGCTCCCTTCTGGCACAGGTCCCCAGACCTTCAGCCGCGTCCAGATCTACCACAACCCCACCGCCAACTCCTTCCGAGTCGTCGGCCGCAAGCTGCAACCAGACCAACAGGTGTGGGCTCCCTCCATCTCTCCTTCTCTTCCACCCTGCCTGCCATCTAGCCCTCAGCACCCCTCACCCACCTGTTCCATCTTGTAGGTGGTTATCAACTGTGCCATTGTCCGGGGTGTCAAGTACAATCAGGCCACCCCCATCTTCCATCAGTGGCGAGATGCCCGCCAGGTCTGGGGCCTCAACTTTGGCAGCAAAGAGGATGCTGCCCAGTTTGCAGCCGGCATGGCCAGCGCCTTAGAAGCTTTGGAAGGTGAGATGGGCAGGTGGGCCAGCATGGGGCGGGAGCTCACCTGCTTCCCAAATGCTGGAATTAAAAGGTGTGTGCCTCCACACCTGGTTAGAGACTCCTTAGTGATGCCAAGATCCTGCTTGTAGAACACGTGGTTATTTTTTGGCAGTGCTGGTGTTGAAACATAAGGCCTAGAGCATCCTAGACAAGCTCTCTATCCCTGAGCCACAACTGGGGGATTCTAGGCAGGTGTTCTACCACTGAGCCAAGCCTCTCATGGGGGGGGGGCACAGTTCTAGGCTGGTACTCTAGTACTGAGCCATGGCCCCAGCCCCTTACTGGGGAATTTTAGGCAGGTGCTGTACCCACATCCCCAGGCCCTCACCAGTGGATTCTAGGTAGGTGCTCTGCCACTGAGCCATAACCCCAGCCCCTCACTACCACTAAGCCATGGCCCTGAGCCCCTCAGACTAGCCCTTTGAAGGGTTGGTCTTAGGTGACTGCTGTGCTTTTGAGTCTGAAGAGTGAAAATTACACAGTGGCTGATGTGTTGGCTTCCTGGGGCCCTGTCAATCACTAATGGAGGGACTTGCCCTGTGTCTGGGAAAATACAATAGATAGTATATATAGGCCTGTGGTAGGTAAGGAAGAGGTCCAGAGCTTCTTCTCAAGTCCCTCAGGGCTGTGATAGTGGCTGTTCCTACAGATGACAACCTACACAACTTGGAGACTAGTGGCACCTCTGAGTCCCTTGGGGTGTTCCAAGACCATCAACCTGGGGCAGCTCAGGCCCAGGGAGGCTGTTCATCATCCTCTTCCCATGGTGTCCACCCTGGCCCCGATGTAGCAGCTCTGGTTCACTGGGATAGCATCCAAGTGAGGAGAAGGAAGGGATGCCGAGGCAGGGCAGAGGTCCTGGGTCCTCACTGTTTTCTACTTTCTCCTTTCAGGTGGCGGGCCTCCCACAATCCCAGCACCCCCTGCCTGGTCAGCCCAGAATGGGCCCTCTCCAGAGGAGCTGGAACAGCAGAAGAGGTGGGGCACTCACACTCCTACCACAGTTCCTTGTTGGCCCACAGCTCCTATAGTTCAGAATCCCTCCAGCTCTCAATTTCTAGAAAGTTTCAAAGGCCCACGAATTTAAAAGCAAACAGTTTTTAGACACCTACTCCCAAGCTCCTGGAATTTAAGAAACTTGTATTGCAGAGCCTTGTGTGGTGGCTTAAGTCTGTTACCCCAGCTCACCAGGTGACCGAAGCAGAAAGAGGCCCAGGACTTTGAGGCTAGCCTGAACTACATAATGAGTTCCAGGCCAACCTTAGCCACAGAACGAGTCCTTGTCTCAAAAAATAACCCCTAGCTGGGCATAATGGCATACACCTTTAATCCTAGCACTTCTGAGCTGTAGTGGTAGGTAGATCTTTGTGAGATGGGGCCAGCCTGGTTTACATAGTGAGTTCCATGCCAGCCAGGGCTACATAGTGGGATCCTGTCTTAATAAACAAAAAGGAAAATAAAGAAAAATAGCTCCTTGCCCTCCAGAAAAAGAATCTGATACCAGAATCTCCAATCTTCGAGACTATTGGGTTCCATGGTTGGCTTACCAGGAGACTCAGGTGCTCTGTAATTCAATGTTTGTGATGGTTGAAAAGAAGGTTTGCATCTAGGACTCTGACTTTCCCTATCTGCCTCCCTGAGGTTCCCCATCTGTCCTTCCGTGGGTCTCCTTGGGTTGGCAGGCTTGGGGAAGGGGGCAGGGTGTACCAGGAGCCTGGCCCGGTAGATAGCTTTATTCTGGGATTAAAGATAGCTTCTTCACCCCCCCCCCTCCACAGGCAGCAGCCCAGCCAACCAGAGCACATGGAGCGCCGGGTATCTAATGCAGGTGATGGTTCAATGGGCTGGGGAACCTCCCTAGAGGAAGGGGTGGGTGCCTGGACAAAGAATAAACTCTCTCTCTCTCTCTCTCTCTCTCTCTCTCTCTCTCTCTCTCTCTCTCAATTGCCCCCTCTCTCTGTTGCAGGAGGCCAACCTGCTCCCCCCCCCGGGGGGCCCCCCCCCCCTCCCACACCCCCCCCCCCCCCCCCCACCCACACACACACACACACCCACCAACCTGCTCCCAGCCGGGGGGCCACCCCCACCTCCAGGACCCCCCCCTCCACCAGGTCCCCCTCCACCCCCAGGTCTGCCCCTCTCAGGGGTCTCAGCTGCAGGGCATGGAGCAGGGGGAGCTCCACCCCCTGCACCCCCTCTCCCTACAGCACAGGGCCCCAGTGGTGGGGGCTCCGGGGCCCCGGGCCTGGCTGCAGCCATTGCAGGAGCCAAACTCAGGAAAGTGAGCAAGGTAAAGGTGCCGGGAGGGGCTGGGCGTGGGGCAGATGGGTCCCCTCCATGTCACAGGGGGGCTGGAAGGTCACAGGGCCCACCTTTGAAGCCCTCTCCCCTTTTTCATTCCTTCAGCAAGAAGAGGTCTCTGGGGGGGCCTCAGTCTCCAGGACTGAGAGCAGTCGAAGCACTGGTGGTGGGGGGCTCATGGAAGAGATGAACGCCATGCTGGCCCGGAGGTGAGCTCCCGTTTCCTCCTCCTCCTCCTCTTCCTCTTCTCCTTCTCCTTCCTTCCTCCTTCCTTTTTCATCTCCCCTCTCTGTTCCCATACCTCCAGCCCAGGCTGAACTTTAGATCCTCCTGCCTCGGTCTCCCAAGTGCCGGCATGACAGGCCTGGGCCACTACACCCATATTGCTTATATTCTTTGGGTTAAGGTTCCACTTGGTGACAGCTAGGTTAGGGACTTGATGCTGAAGACTGGAGTCCCCTCAGGTGGAGTGTAAGCTGTTCTTGCACTCAAGTTTAGAACCTTAGGAGATTCCACTTTACTATTCTAAAAATTTCGATTTTAGAATCCCAGTGTTGTAACTAATCCTACCCATACAGTTTTATTTCATTTTTATTTATTTGTGTGTGTATGAATGCATGTCTGCCATGGGATGTGTGTGGAGGTCAAAGGACAAGTTTTTGGAGTCAGTTTTTTCCTTCCATCTTGTAGGTTCTGGTTGTCAGGTGTGGGAGCAAGCGCCTTTTCCCACTGATCCACCTTGTCATCTCTTTGGTGGTTTTTGATATTATTGTTTTATGGGGTTTTTAAGTATTTTATTTATTATTTTTATTTTATGTGTATGAGTGTATTGCCTCCATGTGAGTGCACCTGTGTCGTGCAATGCCTCGGAGGTCAGAAGAGGGCTTCGGATTCCCCTGGAACTGGAGTTAAGGATGGTTCGTAGCCGCCATGTGGGTGCTGGGAATCGAACCCGGGTCCTCTGCAAAAGCAGTCTGTGCTCTTAACTGCTGAGCCATCACTCCAGCCAGTTTTATGGGTTTTTTTGAGATAGGATCTCACTATGTTGACCAGGGTGGACTTGAATTCAGAGATCTGCCTGCTTCTGCCTCCTGAGTACTAAGATCAAAGGTGTGTCCACTATGCCCAGCTTTAAAAAAATTTTTTTTACATTACATTTATGTATGTGTACATATGTGTCTGTCTGTATGTGTGCAGGTACACATGGGGGTCAGAAGACAACTTGGGGCAGTCAGTTTTCTTCTATCTTTTTTTTTTGGTCTTTTTTGAGACAGGGTCTCCCTGTAGCCCCAGCTGGCCTGGAACTCACTATGTAGACCAGGCTGGCCTTGAACTCACAGAGATCCTCCTGCCTCAGCCTCCCGAGTGCTGAGCTTTCTCTTTGCATGGGTCCTTGGAATGAACCAGGTCATTAGGCTTGGCAGCAAAGCCCCTTTTCCCCGGCCAAACCATCTCACTGGCATGTTCTTTAACTTTTAAAATGATCCTGGAACCCACATTTCTGGAGCAGAGGGAAGGGGTGCTGTTGAGTGGCTGAAGGTGACCTGCAGCTTCTGCCCTTTGTTTTCCCCCCTGCAGAAGGAAAGCCACACAGGTTGGGGAGAAGCCCCCCAAAGACGAGTCAGCCAGTGTAAGTTGGGGGCTCTTCCTGTTCTATTCACCAAGGATGTATGGCAGGGTGGGAGGAGTGTGACAGGGTTGAGCTGACTTTAGACCTACATGTGTCAAATGCTAACACTACTAGTGTGGCAAGGCTGACACGATGCTTTATTTTTTACCAGCAGGAGGAGCCAGAGACGCGAGTTCCTGTCCAGAGTGGTAAGCAAAGGATTCTGGCTAACCAGAGAAACTACGAATCCCAGGATGCTCCATTCTTGCTTTGAAAGCATTTACATGGAGAATCTGTGAAAATAATGCTGGGGATTATAGTTTTCTGAGATGATTCTTAGAACAGGCTGTTGAGGCTGGGTAAAGAAAACTCTATGTTGGGGTGGGGGGTGCTCATCTCTCGTTTTTCTGATTTGTTGCCTGTGTCTCCTAGAACCTGTGCGGAGACCCTGGGAGAAAAACAGCACAACACTGCCAAGGTGGGCCATTGTTGGGGCTTCACCCCTCAATAGTTGGGCTTATCTAGACTATAAGGAATATAATGTGGCCCTTGGAATGGGAAGCAGGGAAGGCAGAGGCATTCTCTAACCTTTTTTCTGTCCGGAACCACACCAGGATGAAGTCCTCATCTTCTGTGACTACCTCAGAGGCCCACCCCTCTACGCCCAGCTCCAGTGATGACTCTGACTTGGAGAGAGTGAAGCAGGTAGTGTTGGGGAAGTAGCTAGAAAGACTCAGGGCAAGAGCCTCTGGATCCAGAGCCTGACACCAGTGTGCCAGTGCTTCTAGAGAAGGCGTCAGAGACCTCAGTTTTTCCATCTGAGAAATGGAGATAGTGGACCATATCCAGGGACACATACCCACCCACCCCTATACCCATTTCCAGTGCTGGTAGCAGGCCTGACCAATCGATCATCCCACTGATTGCTGCTGAGTACCCAGAATCTTCAGCTCAGTGGCTCCAGCAACCCATGTCCAATCAGAGTTGGCAAGAGACTTCATTGTGTTTGCCAAGCTTGGTACTGGATGTTCTCCAGTGCTTTTCTGCTGGCTCCAAAGATCCAGATTTCTATAGAATATTCCCATCATTTCATGACCTTGGCAACTGAGTCAAGGATGAGGGTGGGACAGGGTGTTAAATCTGCTTTGCCTTTTTTTTAAAGAAAAAAGGGACGAGGGAACCTGGCTCAACAGTAGAGCACCTGCCTAGAAATTCCCAGGGAGGGACTGGGGGCATCACTCAGTAGTATAGTGTTTACTCTGCATACAAGGGACTGTGGGCTCCACCCCTGACACTACAATAAAATGGACTCTAGATGGCTACCGGTAAAGGCACTTGTTGCCAAGCCTGATCACCTGAGTTGAATCCTCAGTACCCAGATGGTGGAAGGAGAGAACTGACTCTGGACAGTTGTCCTCTGACCATCATATACAAACTGTGGCACACATGTACCTATAAACACACAAAGTAAGTATATAAAAAAAATTGTTTTAAATAAGAAAGAGGGCCAGTGGCATACATGCCTTTAATCCCAGGACTCCAGAGGGAGGCCAATCTCTGAGACTGAGGCCAGCTAGGTCTAGATGGTGAGCTCCTGGCCAGCTTGTTTCTGCAAGTCCAGGTCCCCTCTTGATTGGTCCTTTCCAGGAGCTTCTGGAAGAGGTGCGGAAGGAACTGCAGAAAGTGAAAGACGAGATCATTGAGGGTGAGGTGCTTTTGTTTTGCTTGAACACTTTATTTTGGAGGCCACGCGTCCCTCGGAAAGAGCCCTGCCTTGGAAGGGAAACAACTGGCACTGACCTCTGCCTCCTGCTTCCTTCCAGCCTTTGTCCAGGAGCTGAGGAAGCGGGGTTCCCCTTGACCACAAGGACCCAGAAGACCCACTCTCTGCACACCCGCCTGTCAACTGCTTTCCCTGCCTCAGCTTGACAAGGAAAATTGGCTGAAGACTACACAGGAATGCATTCTCCCACCCCTCCCACTTGGAAGCTTCCAAGGGGTGTGGCTTTCCTCGTGCCACGCCCATGTCCATACTGGCTGCTGATTGGCTAGGGAGGCCCCATCCCTTTACTCCCTTTGGTCCTTCCCCTCTTCCATTGGGCTGGTTCCTTTTCTGGGGATGTACCAAGTAACCCCACAGTAAGGGGGAGGGAGGAAGGAGGGAATGACACATTCCCTTTTCTAGATTCACTTTAACGCTTTAATGCCTTGGAATTTTTTTTTTAAGAAAAAAAAAATATATATTCCGGGGGGAAGGGAAAGTTTTTTTCCTCTTTGGTTTTGATAAAATGGGGTGTGGGAGTTTAAATGCTATAACCCCCAGGATTGCCCCATTGAGGGCAGCTATTTAAGGGGGGGAGGTGTCCCACCAGGTGGGAGTCATTTCCCCCACCAGGAACACTTCCTCTGACCCTTTGGCTCCTTCCCCTTTTCTATGAGGAATTTAGATGCTGTAACTTTTTGGGCACCTCAAGATTTTTTTTTTTTTTTTTAATTATTTGGGTAGGATTTCAGGGTCCAGACCATTTTTGCCCTCCAGGAAGACAACGTGAGGGGGAAGGAGGAGAGGAAACGGAAACTGGTCTTCCAACCTCCACAGCTGAGCTTCTTGGGCATGGTCCCTTGCTGAATAAAGATGCGGTTTTTATAAGTGCGAAGATCTCTGAGGTGACTTAGGGGTTGTCGTCTGAGATGGAGGTGTCTTCATACCATGGGGACCTTCTAGTGCTGTATACCCCCCAACTCTGTACCCAGAACTCCTTTTGCTCCACCCACCTCTCTGCCCCTTACCAGTCTACTTCTCCATCCCACCCAGAGATGGGTAGGGGCTGTGGTCTTTGCCAAGGCTGACACATTAACTCTGGGATGTTCTCAGGGTGACTGCCCCCCTCTCCCACCAGAACCCCCTCTCCAGCTTTCCCAATTTGAATGAATGACACTTAAGCCCACTTGGCAAGTGATGGTTCTGTGTCACTCTTGAACCTGGACCTCCTTTAATTATAAAACATTTATGATCTAAAAAAAATAAAATTTAGAAGTCACAGAGCTCACAGACCACCAGGTAGGTGGCCCGATGGGTTAGCAGGGCGTGGGTAGGAGAGGTCACAGAGCCAGTGAAGTGGTCCATTTGGGCAGGAGGTGGGCCTGCCTGCCTTATTGTAAGTGGCTTTTGAAAGGCCAGACCAAAAACAGGAAGGGAAGGCGGTTCCTCAGTGGCTACAGAAGTCTGGATGGGGTTCGGAGGAGGAGGTGACACTGGCCCATGTATTAGGGAGCAGGGGAGTCCCTACAAAAGGCTACTTTACAGGGCTAGCAGGGCTGGGGTGGTAGGAAGTCATAGGTCTGAGTCCAGACTTGGGGCCGGTAAACGGGGCTGGTTGGGAGGCCAAATGGCTCATTGCTGCTCAGAGCCAACTTTCCTAAGACACTACACAAGAAGACACCGGCCGGCCAGACAGTGGCAGTCCCGCAGACTACACAGAAGGGCCTGGGTCCACTCGGGTAGAGGCGGCTTCTGGGTGGAGGTACTGTGGTGGGCTTTATAAAGGCAGGAACCAGAGCGATAGATGTGCAGGACACGCCCCTTGCCTCGTCTGAAAAGTGAGGTAGATGAAAGGAAGTCTCCGGACCGCTGACTTTGCTTTCATAATGGCCTGAACCAAAGGGTAAGAGGCGGGGTGTTCCAGTGCGACGGAGGGTCTGTGCCTCACATGGGGAGAGGGGCGGGAGGGGGAGCAGCAGCTGCGCCCATCCTCTCCAGCATCCACAGGCGCTAGTGTTGGGGGATGAGGAGACAGGAGACCCAGGGGAAGGAACCACTGAAGTTAGTCGGGGTGTCCCCTGATTGGAACCCGCCACTCCCTGCCTAGGATCCCTCGGTCCGCAGAGAGACCCGGATATGTTCAGGTCCGCACAGAGATATTGGGGCAGTTCAGGGAAGGCCCAGGCCAGCGCAGACAACAGTCCTATCCAAGGCCAGGGTCCTGCGGCCTCTACTCGGAGACAGGGGGTTCGGGTCGGGGGTGCACGTCGCAGATCTGGGAGCTGAAGTCTTGCAGCTCCGCCCGCAGCTGATCCAGCTCGCTCTGTGGCAAGGCGGCCGCCACCTGCGTCTGCAGGCCTTGAGCGCCAGCTCCAGGTGGTCCACCTCGTCCCGCAGCGCCTTCCAGGAGGCTACGCGCTCAACCTTCTTGCGGCGCTTCGTCGACTGCTGGCGCCAGAACTCCAGCAGCAGGCAGGTGCCGGCGCTGAAGAAGATGATGGCCTCGTCCAGCAGGTTGGCGCCCAGCTCGGCCGCCGCATGTTCATTCAGCGGCTTGATGGATTCTGGTTGGAAGCCCATGATGCGCATCTTGGTCCTCATCTCCAACCAGTGGTATACTGCGGGAGAGAAAGATCGGGGTTTGTTTTCCCACAGGAGCCTCCTGCACGCTCAGCCTCTCCACACCTTCGGGATCAGAGCCCAAACTGCAGGCCCTAAGGATCACAGTGGCCAGCTCCACGCTGGGAATACCCCAGGACAGCCTTTAAACCATTCACCGAGCCGGTGTGATGGCGCAGGCCTATGGTCCAAGCACTCAGGAGTCAAAGGCAGGCAGATCTCGATGACATCAAGGCCAGACTGTTCTACATAGCGAGTTCCAGGCCAACTAAGACTACAGAGAGACCCTGTCTCAAAAACAAAAACAAAACAAAACAAAAAACACCAAAACCAAAACTCCAAATCCACTCCCCCAACCTCCAGGAACCCAGGAAGTGTTAGCAAGAGGATCAGGCCTTTAATCCGGCACTCTGGAGGCAGAAACAAGTGCATCAGGGCACCCTGAGCTACATAGTGAGACCCTTTTTCAAAAAAAAAAGGGCCCCTAGGCCAGGCATGGTATTGTCTGATGCTGTGATCCCAGCACTTTGGGAGAATGAGGCCAGCCTGGGTATATAATGAGTTCAGGCCATCCTGAGTCCCTGGTCTCAAAATGAATAGGGGCTGAAGAGTGGCTCGGTGGTTAAGAGCACTGGCTGCTCTTGCAGAAGACCTGGGTTCAGTTCCCACATGGCAGCTAACCACTGGCCATAACTCTAGTTCCAGGGGATTGAACGCCCTATTCTGACCTCCATGGGCACTGTACAACATGGGTGCACTTACATGCATGTAGGCAATACACTCATACACAAAAAATACTGATAAATTAGAAAAATACTTTTTTAATTTATCCTTGGATAACATCAAAATACCTCTAAATGGGTGGTGGCATATGCCTTTAGTCCCAGTACTCCAGAAGCAGAGGCAGGTGGATCTTTGTGAGATCAAGTCCAGCCTGGTCTACATAATGAGCTCCAGGTCAACTGGGGCTACAGGGAGACTGCCTCGAAAATAAAATAAAATAATCTTAAGAAGATTCTGGAAGCCAGGGGTGGTGGCGCACACCTTTAATCCCAGCACTCAGGTCATCAGGCTTGTTGCAAGCACCTTTACCCATTCAGCCATCTCACTGGCCCCATGGTCAAATTTGTAGGTGCTGGGGATTTGAACTCAAGTCCTCTTACCCACTGAGTCATCTTCCCAGCCTCTTTTGTGTTTCTAAAAAATATTTTATTTGGGGGGCTGGAGAGATGGCTCAGCAGTTAAGAACACTGATTGTTCTTGCAGAAGACCCGGGTTTGAATCCCAGCACCCATATGGCAGCTAACAACTGTCTGAAACTCCAGTTCCAGGGGATCCAACAGCCTCTTCTGTCCTCCATGGGCATTGCACAACACGGGTGCACTTACCTACACATAGGCAATACACACATAAAATAAAAATAATAAAATATGAAAAAAAATTTAAAAAATTTTTATTTGGTTGGAAAGATATCTCAGCAGTTAAGAGCATTGGCTGTTCTTGCAGAAGACCCAGGTTTGAATCTCAGAGCCCACATGGTGGCTAACAACCACTTGTAACTCCAGTTCCAGGTGCTCTGACACCCTCTTTTGACCTCTTCAGGCATTGCATGACATGGGTGCACTTACATATATGCACACTCATACACAAAAAATAAATTTTTTTTAAACTTTTAAAATTTTATGGCTTTTATGTGCATGCACGTATTGCCTGCATGTATGTAAGCGCACCCATGTTGTGCAATGCCCTCGGGGGTCAGAAGAGGCTGTCGGATCCCCTGGAACTGGAGTTACAGACAGTTGTTAGCTGCCGTGTGGGTGCTGGGATTCAAACCCCGGTCTTCTGCAAGAACAACCAGTGTTCTTAACAGCTGAGCCATCTCTCCAGCCCCAAAATAAAAAAATTTTAAATTTATTTTTATTTAATAACCACGTGATTAGAAGAAGCATTTCATTACAGCTTTAAACATATTCAGTAACAATTTCCAGAGTGAGGATACATCTTTTTCAAAAGTTACTATAAACTTTTAGATTCACAGTCGAATTAATACAGTTATACAATATTGAACTTAGTATAAACCCTGTACGTCATAAAATTGAATGTTTTTAACCTTTAAAGATCTCCATTTAATTTTATTAAAATATACTGTTTCTTACAGAAGGACTCATTGTTTTTGCTACTAACACTGAGATTTTTGCATAAGAATCTCTAATCTTTATGTATCTTGTTTGTCAGCTGAACCTTGCTGACAGACAGAGAGAAAGCCAGGATTAAAAAACATATTTTTCTGTCTGGTGTGGTGGTACATGCCTTTAATTCCAGCACCCGGGAGGCAGAGGCAGGTGGATCTCTGCGAGTTCAAGGCCAGTCTCATCCACACAGTGAGTTCCAGATCAGCTGGGGCTACAGGGAGACCCTGTCTTTTATTTATTATTTTTTAAAATTTATGAGTGTATTGCCTGCATGTATCTGAGTGCACCCGTGTCACGCAATGCCATGGAGGTCAGAAGAGGGCATCGGATTCCCCTGGAACTGGAGTTAAGGATAGTTGTTAGCTGCCATGTGGGTGCTGGGATTCAAACCTGGGTCTTCTGCAAGACCAACCAGTGTTCTTAACTGTTGAGCCAACTCTCCAGCCTGTTTCCTACTTTTTTTTTTTTTTTTTTTGAGACAGGGTCTCCCTGTGTCCCCAGCTGTCCTGGAACTCGCTATGTAGACCAGGCTGGCCTCGAACTAACAGAGATCTGCCTGCCTCTGCCTCCCGAGTGCTAGGATTAAAGGCGTGCACCACCATGCCTGGCTGTTTCCTACCTTTTTCTTTTTTTGGTCTTTTTGAGACAGGATCTCCCTGTAGCC